AGTGTTAACCAAATAAAAATAAAGAGTTGTTTGAAAGCCAAAAGTGATCTGTAAACTACCTGAGAAATGAGATGTCAGGAGTCCTGATGTCAAGTTTGAGCCCCACTACTAACTAGCTGTGAAACTTTCAAATCCCTTCTCCTCCGCCGATTTCTCATCTGTACAGTAATGGCAGCAGGTTTCTTTACACGTTGAACGAAAAGCAAAACACTTCAACTGCAACAACAATGAAATAGAGTTGACAGAAAAGTTTGTGTTAAAGAACAGAACAAGAAATGGATTACTTTATGTTAGAATAAAAACATTTAAAAATAATTTGGATGCCTTCATTCCGGGATGGAGTCAGGAAGACAGCCAAGACACCTCAGAGCCATTCTTCGATCAGCTTGCCCCACCAGGACAAGGGCTTTCTACCCGAGAGGCGCATAATAAATGTGGAAAGAACAGCATGTGTGCCAGATGCATGAATCAATGGCTGTGCATTCCCTAGTGCCTGGACATTGGTACGATGCAACAATGATGCTCTGTTGCAGTTTTACATTAAACATATGATACTGTGTATCAACAAAGAATGTCAGCTTTACTTCCATTTCTATAAGTGAAAAATTTAAGGAACTGGCCGGGCACGGTGGCTCACGCCTGTAATCCTAGCACTCTGGGAGGCTGAGGCGGGTGGATCGCTCAAGGTCAGGAGTTCAAGACCAGCCTGAGCAAGAGCGAGACCTCGTCTCTACTAAAAAACAGAAAGAAATTATCTGAACAACTAAAAATATATAGAAAAAATTAGCCAGGCACGGTGGCGCATGCCTGTAGTCTCAGCTACTCGGGAGGCTGAGGCAGGAGGATCGCTTGAGCCCAGGAGTTTGAGGTTGCTGTGAGCTAGGCTGACGCCACGGCACTCACTCTAGCCCGGGCAACAAAGTGAGACTCTGTCTCAAAAAAAAAAAAAAACTTTAAGGAATTTATCAAAAAAATACCTAGTGTGATCTCTATTGTTGGGGTAGGGTAGTGTCCTGCTAATTTAGCTTTTGTCAGGATACAATTTTAAGAGGCTATGAAATACCTGTTTTCTTACATAGAAGCCTGGATTTACTCTCCCTCTCCACCTTCTCAATGGTGGGAATCACCAGGCTCTGCCACAGGATCCGCTCTAGGTAGGAAACAGTATAGTAGGGAACCTGCTCTAAGGCCATTGATCAAAGACTGGTTAATGGAACCCTAAGATGATTTCTGCCTGTATTTAAGGTATCACCTCTGTGTCCTGTCTCCAAGAAGGCCATGAGCATAAGGGTGCCACATCAGAAAGCTGACTGTAGGAGTCCCCCATGCCGAACTCCCAGTGAAGTTCGTTGTGTGCCCTTTCAGCCTTCCACTTCTTATCCCAACTCCATGGGGGTTTTTTTAGGGGTTGGACATGACTGCTTTGAGTATGCAGGTAGAAAGTAATCTGTCATTCATTTCACCACAGCTGGTAATTACAGACTCAGGACCTATAGAAGGTAGGCCACACTAAAATACACTTTGCACAAAGTATATTTTTTGCATAAAGCCAGCCCTTAACACACAAGCCTGTCATGTGTATCTGGCAAAGAAAACTATTAGATAGCAGTGGTGTTTGGGAAAGAATATCATTTCTAACCTTACCAAATTTTTCTCCATCTAAATAGTCATCCAAACCTCATAATTATTATCCATTGATCTAATAGTTGGGAATTTTGGGGGGGTCAAAAAGATGGAGTCATGGTCAGGAACCTATAATAGTTTTCCCAGAGTTGTTTTTTTGGCAAGTCTCTCAAAAGAAGGCAACAGTTGATAGCCTGTGTGTATTAGGAGTCAAACTTCCACTTGGGCTGGCTCAAGATCTCTGCACAGAGACTCACAGGCACCTGGGAGCTTCAGTGCGAACTGCATGATAGCATGAACCCCCCAGCTTGCTCCACTTCCTTCAACAATTCTGCCTTCTCCTTTCTCTCCTTCAACCTGCTTGGAGGATGTTTCATCTTTTCTGACCTGTGTGCCTTAGGCCAGATTAAGAAACTTTTTCCTTTGAAGCTTTCTGTATAAAGCTTTATCTACAAAGGTTTTCCAAACTGAGTAAGATAAGGAGACAGTTCAAGTGTAGGGATAATACACATGGCCCTCACCAGCCCATGACTCAATGGTCATGTGTTCTCTCCTCTTGTAATTTAGAGCTTACTGCCCCCTGGGGTGACAGGACTAGGTATCTTTTTCTACCTAACAATAGAATCCAGGAGAGAAAGAGAAGGAGCAGTGGCTTTAACCTTCCTCAAGCTCTCAATCTGAGCTCCACAAAGCTACTGGCATATGGCATGTTCTCAATCAATGTTCTTTTTCCAACTTGATTTCTTGGTTCTTAATTTTAAGTCATAAGACCCTTTTGCAAATAGTTCTAGGAAGTCAGGATCAGACTTCAAAATGTAACCAGACCACAACCACTCCATTTAATGACAAATTTCACTTGGTTTGGGAGATCAGACAGATACAAAGTTACATCTAATGCTAAGAATATACCTTCCCAACTAGCTTTGGAGAAAGGGCTACAAAAATGAAAAGAGAGGAAAACAACCCAAAATGAACTCTTATGATAATTAATTAAAGCACACAGAGACCACCAAATCATGGAAGACAACCCGGAGATACCTGGCAAGACAAAACAACCAACATTTCCACATCTTTCCTCTAATCCCCAAGTAAACTAGAAATATAAAAATACTGGATTCAGAAAGCTGTGGCCAAGAGTTTGAAGTGAAAGTCGGCCCTTTGGCTGTTATTTATTGCTATATTAGAATAGAGGAAAGTGACACCCATTGCCTTTACAAAGTTCTGTGGAATTATATGCATAGAGTGGTCAGTGTCCAATATCTGAGTAAGTCTTCCCAACTGCCACATTAGAATAAACTTTTGAATTTGAATGCCTTTCCTTTCCAAATGATTCCAACCTCATAACAAAGAATTTTACATACTATCAAAATGGACCAGGTGCTTTTATTGGATAGCAGAAGCCAAACTGCTCCTTTTCCCAAAAGCCACTTACTAATGATTTGATTGAAAATCTCTTCTAAGCAGATCACTGTTACTATGTCCCTTTCAAAGGATGGAAATTCTGAGGTACAAGTACTATGAAGACAGCAATATCTCTCATAAGCTGGTGAGAATCTATGCCCACAGGGACAATTTTGCAACCCTGTTTCTGGAGGCCAGGACACAAGAGATTTATCTTAGTGATAGATGGATATTCCTTTGATCTTAAGGCACAAGGGCTGTCAAAACAAGTCTCTGAATAGTGCCTTTCTGCTCATCAATGCCATCACATCGAAGGAGAGGAGAGCAGGGTCTTGGTTTTCCCAGATAGTGCTCAGTAGGACCGCAGTGGTTTGGCATAGATTGGCTGCAGGACATGATGAGTTAGAACCAAGAAGAGGCCTCCAAGGAAGATAGCACTCAGGAAAGCCAGCAGGACATAGCGGCCAATGAAAAAGGCATCCACAGTCTGGAGAAAGAAAACATCAAAATGCAATTACTATCACTTCGGCACCCTGGCCATGTTACACTGAAATCTTTCATGAACAGGCCAAGAGTTTATTCATATTTGTAACTTCCAGTAACATCCTGCCTTGAATCTCCTCTGTAAATGGATAAGAAGGAATCTTTTTCTCAACTCCATGAGCAGGAAACATAAGGTAAAGAAAGGATTAATGAGGTACAGGGAACAAATGGCTCAATTTAGGAGGTTCATAAACCCTTGAAGTCCCTGAATGAATTCTTTTATGTTTTGAAATCTGTTATTTGAAAGAGTTAATGAGAAGCTTTTTCTTGGTTCAAGAAAGGCTCATTTTTGTTGTTGTTAAACACTTTTAGTTATGAATAATTTTAAACATACAAATATAATAGTATAATAAACCCTCATGTACCTCAGACCCAACCCCCCAAATCATCAACCCACTGTCAATTTAGGAGAGTTCATTTTCAAAATGAAAAGGTAGCTCTTTAAAGCTTTCATCAGAAGAATTTT